ATATCATTTTTCTTTTAGTATCTATAAAGTTGCAATTATTAAATATTTCATAACAAAGCAACAATTGGCTTTCTGTTTCGAGTAGTTTGTAATGGTCTAATAGTATAATTAATCTAGTTGGGAATAATATTTCCCGGAATAATTAGGTACAGTTGGACCATTTTGAAGTCAAACTATTGTTTTCTGTTATCATTCATGAGACGCTAATTAACAATTTAAGCAATTCATATTTGACAACAAAATTCCGATAAACCGTTCCATTCATTACAATAACATATATTAGATAAATTGAAGAAAAGTTACACAGTGACCTAAATTAAACTACATATGGCTATTATGTTTATCAGACCGACTTAAGTTATCGTTTGTGTTTTTGCTGTGTACTGTTAATGAACACTTCATAAAACATTGTTGTAAATGTACGGATAAAGAATAGAGCACGTATAGGTACTGCTAAGTTACTGAATAAAATAAGTAATTTACTTAATACGCTAATAAACTACATCAGATATTTATCTTGCAACCTGTTTATCTATATCAGTGTGAATTTGCAACACAATCGTCACTATTCACATTATATCAGTCGCCTTATATCGATTATTGTGCATCCCGTGGGATGCTACAATAGACACTTATTTATACTAGCATGAAATGTTCCTGAATAATTCTGGAATCTTTTCGAGTCTCGCCCGCGTATGATTTGTGATCGTCTACTGTCGTTTATCAAAGGTATTGTTAGTGGAAATTGAAAATGTGTAAGTTTGTTTACAAACAGTTTTCCTCACAGTCTTATATACATATATATGTATGCAGTGAGTAGGTACTATTCATATTTGATTGAAATGAAGAATTTCAGAATCAGTAGAATAGCAAACAAGGATAGGATCAATGAACCGTGAAATCCGCACTGCTGCTCAGTAAAAAAATTAATATATTCGAAAAACTCGCCATATTTTTCTAGTCTTTTTGTTTAAACAGTAAAACGAATGTTATTTTTAAATCATGTTGTTTTTACTACTCATACTTCCTTTTCCTTTTTATCTACTCATGCTATTGTGCCCTTCAAAGTATGTCGATAATTACGATTTTCATTTTTCGGATGCATTTCAAAAACATACTAAATTTCAGTAGTTGCTCTATCCAGCAGCACCGCTATTTCATTTATATAAATGCATAATACAGAACAGCATGGGGATATTGAGGATTTATCTCAGGATTTACCAATAATTGTAATGATTTCGGTTCTTCAAATAGATTATACCATCTCTATTCCGATCTTCAGTATTTTTAGTGCCACTAGGACCTATTACATAAGTTTTCTATCCATATCTTTGCAATGCTTCAAAGTTTTAATAACTCAGAATTCTGCATAATTTTGCTGATGAAATTTAATATTATTTAGTGCCCCCACATTTGCGCCGCCCGAAGACATGACACCTTCTGTCCCACTCCACCCCCATCTCTACATCCCTGTTTGAACCTCATAAACTTTCTTGCTTTTTTATACAAAAACAAGAACGTTTCAACTGCTTATTTATTTAAACACCCGCCAGTTGTTTCGATCTAATCTGTCATTCTCAACAGTTCAGAAAAACTAAACTTCATTTTCGTGTATTCTGCTTAAATAAATAACGAGTTGAAAATTCTTGTTGTATGTTTCTCTTTCCTGAGGCGTTAATTCGAGCATACACCCATGGTAGTAAAAATCAAACGGTTTATTTCACAGTACGACTTAATAATTATTAGTTTCGCTTATGATCGAAATTCGACCAGTTTGCTTTCAAATCAACTACTGTCTCTGCGTGTACCGAAAAGTAATGACCCCGAATGTTTAATGTGAAAATTCTTAAAACTTTTTTAATAAAATACACTTTATTGACATTCTACATCTTTCTGCTTTATGTCTACATATTAATTTCTCAACATATTAGTCGTGGCAAAGAACACATTTCTCCAAAAGGGAAACTTATTTGTTGATACATCAAAGTGAATTTTTCCAAGGAATTCTTTGAGTTTTGGACACAGATTGTGGACTATAACTGCGGTTAATACTAAATAAAGTTCATGGCAATTAAGGGTTGGAAGACTTTTATTTATGAAGAACCAACACCGATGTATCACGTCTTTTTGGGAGGTTTTTACAAGGTAGGTCCTTTAGTTAATGTAAGAAAAGGTTCTAAATAGTTCGGTGCTTGTAACTGGTACATAATATTAAAATAAACATTGTTTTAAAAAGCACAATTATAAATAAAATAAGAAATGATTAAATAGTTAAAAACTAACACTGACTTAGAGACAACACGAATATAAATAAAATAATAAGTTAAAGCATAATTATACCTCGAAAAAGTCCCCAAATAGAAGTGAAACGTTGGTGTTGGTTCTTCATAAATAAAAACCTTCCAACCCTTAATTGCCTTGAACTTTATCTAGTATTATCCAAAGTAAGGGATGAAATGGAGAATAGATACAATTGCGGATTTCAGGCATTAAGTCATATAGCAATATTAGCGATAATTTTATTTGTAGATGGCAATTTTGACAATGATAAAGAGCCTCAAGTTCATAACGTCACAAAAACACTGTAGAATTATGTAGTGAATCCAAAAGTTTCACTTTATCAAGTAATTTCAATGAACAGTTGTAGTGTAAGTACCCAGGTAGTTATTTGCATTCTAATCGTAAAGGACTTCAACGACTAAAAATAATTACGGCAACGGCCTTGACGAAATTCGATACGACTTTGTTATTTATAAACAATAGAACAGAAAAACGATAAAATGCAATGCTTTTAAAATAAAATGCTCATTTTAAAAAATTTGGCATGTAATTATTATATTTTACTTTGAACTAATAAATAACTTACTTTAGCAGGATTAAGTTTGTATATTCCTTTCTGATGCCACATTATCTCGTAAGAACTTTATTTGTATTGTTAAACATCACGCGAAAGATTTTAAGTCACAAACATCAACCGTTTAAATATTTAACAATTAAATATAGTAAACACTTTTTACGACAACGTTTCTATAGGACAGTTTTCCAATTTATAGTTAATCGAACCGAAATATTTTTATTATGTATAAGTACGCAACAGTTCTTTAATGTTCTCTCGGTAACTTTTGATTGTTAACATTTAGGTAGTCTGATATTAGTTGTTTACTACAAGCCATTCAAGACGAAACTAATTGAAAGAAACCTTCATTGTTGTTACTCTATATTTTGCTGTTACTGCCGCTGTTGATTCAGTATTTTATTGGATACGTTTAGTGCAAGTTTGTTAATTAACATTCGCAAGAAAATAGCCTCATTATAACTCTCATCCAGCGAAAGCACGGTTGGCTCGATTACATATTATTATTTTACGCACAATAACAAAGAATTTAATTTTAGGAGGTACGGTAGCTAAGTAATAAACATTTTATTACGAAATATTTAGTAGCGATATAAAATTTACGCTCAAATACTTATTTTTGTAATAAACCAATTTCGTTATAATTTTGAACCATTATAATGAAACATAGTAGCAGGGAGGAAGCGGTACTAACAGATCAGTACTGTACGAAAATAAATAAAAGTAAAACTAAAATACTAGTATGCAAGGGAAGAAAAGTAGGGAAAGAGTAAAATTAGAAGAAGTGGCTGATATTAGATATTTAGGAAGTCAGGTAAGTCAGGACGGAAGGAGTAGTAGGGATATAAAGCAGAGGATAGCGCAGAGTCGTGTCGCCTTCAATAAAAAGAAGTCACTTCTATGCTCGCGAACGGTTAATTTAGAAATTCTAAAAAGATTGTTAAAGGTGTATGTTTAGAGCACGGCGTTGTACGGGTGCGAAACATGGACAGTGGGCGCGGCGGAAAAGAAAAGGTTAGAAGCCTTCGAAATGTGGTGTTATAAACGAATGATAAGGATACTGTGTGTAGAGAAGGTTAGAAATGTAGAGGTATTAGAAAGAATAGGAGAACAGAGGACTCTATGGAAGTCAATAAAAAATAGGCAAGATAGGTTGGTAGGACACCTTCTCAGGCATGAAGGTCTAGTCAGAGACATATTAGAGGCAGAAACAGGAGTTAGGAGGGGTAGAGGTAGACTTAGGTTAGATTACTGTTCGCAGATAGTTAAGGATGTGGGATGTTCTAGTTTTAGGGAAATGCGAAGTTTAGCTCAGGATAGGAATGAGTGGAGGTACGTGTCCAACCAGTCTTAGGACTGACGATCTTATGATGATGATGATAATGAAACAATAAAGTAGCTACTTGAAAACAAAATTGAACTATAAGGTCGTCTAATATTAATGTGAGGATTCATTTAATCCTTATCCACTACAAATTATGGAGAAAAAGTTCTACCTTCGCCGGGAATCGAACCCAGGTCCTTTGGCATTACGTACCTATGCTGTGATCATTAACCTATGAGAGGTGACAACAGCAATAGCATAACATAAAGTATTTCATATTATAAAAGGACGTCCTTTATTCTATTACATACGGTTATGGCCTGATGACGAAAAGCAATCTATGAATTTCAAACTAATTCAGTACACACAGTTATCGCAAAGTGTGCTTCCTTAACAGAGCTTAACGGCCGATCTTTAAACGATTTTGTGCATGCTTGAAGGTGTACTTGTTATTTATGTGCATGTTTATTAAACTGATGTTTCTACATGAAGAACGTTCCGAAGTTTGATTAGCTACGCTCAAATTTAAATTTAAAGAAAAGTTATATGAAACTGAGAAGTGTAAATAAAAGTTTCATAAATTAAAACCGTAAAATTGTGGATAAAGGCCCGAAGTTCAATTTTCTCGATTTTATTTATGTAAAGCTGAAATTCATTTTAAGGCAATTATTGAAGGAAACTGTTTGATGATTATAAAATAATGTCATACTTATGTAGGTAATATGCGAGTGGTGAAAAACAAAGAAATTTGAATCAGTTGTTGGCTATTATTGGAAAAAAATATCAAATATCATAAATAAATGAAAATCCAATCAATCATACCTTGGTTTCCGATTCCGGTTGAGTGATTTTAACTTCCAGAGTTCCCGTTATTACGGCGTACCAACATTTCCCCGTATCTCCCTGTCGGAAAACTGAAATCGAAGAAGAAGAAAGTCAACAAATGTTCAATTTAACGCATCACAGAATTTCTAAAACTTGCTTAGGTTTACCTAAAATTACACGATATCTAACATCATCCGTAGGTGTCATTGGATCAAAGAAACATAAAGAGATACTTTAAAAATCTTATTTTAAATTTATTTACTATATAGTGACATACTACATGTCGAATTGTCAATATTAGGTAGAGCAGTCAACGCAATTGGATCCTTTTATAGAAACTTCTAACTTTTTCTCCAACCCTAGACAAAAATTTTCAGTCTCTCTCCAGTCTCTCAGTTTTTTAGGGTCTTTCAGCGCCTCTGAGAGCGTCTCTCACAGTCTTTTACAATCTCTCAGTTATTGCCTAGGTGTTTTTATGGATCTTTCACAATCTCTGTATGAGAGACTCGAACGATAAAATTGTTAATTCAGAGATTCGAGTCTCTCACAGAGAGACTGAATGAATAAAACTGAAAAATTGAGAGACTCGAGTCTCTCGTAGAAGGACTGGAATCTTTGAAATATGCTGAACTTTTAAATTTTAACCATGTCTATCGAGACACCATTTATTGAGGGATTCGAGTTTCTCGTTCAGAGACTGGATACAAAATGAGGATTTCTCCATGAGCGACTCGAGTATCTCGTTCAGAGATGCTAAACAGTTTTTTTTGAAAGTCTCTCTCAGCAACACCACAGAGACTCGATGAGAGACGGAGGCTCGAGTCTCGTTTTCAGAGATTCTGAGAGACTGAACATTTTTATCTCGGGAATACCTTAATAAAGACTCAATTATTAATTAGATATTGAAATGTTTGAGAAATATTAATATATACATATATTGTAGATTAAAAGTGTATGTTTGGAGCGTGGCTCTGTACAGGTGCGAAACATGGTCGCTGGGCGCAGCGGAAAAGAAAAGGTTAAAAGCGTTCAAAATGTGGTGTTAGAGCTGAATGATGAGAATACCGTGGATAGAGAAGGTTAAAAATGAAGAGGTATTATGAAGAATAGGAGAACAGAGGACTCTATGGAAATCACTAAAATATACGTGGGATAGGTTAGTAGGACACCTTCTCATGCATGAAGGTCTAGTCAGAGACATATTAGAGGCAGAAACAGGAGTTAAGAGGAATAGAGGTAGATCTAGATTATATTACTATTCGCAAATAGTTAAGTATGCGGGATGTTTTAGTTTTAGGGAAATGCGAAGATTATCTCAGGATAAGAAGGAGTGGAGGTGTGTGTCCAACAAGACTTAGGACTAACGACCTTATGATGATAATATTGTAGATATTACGCTTTGATATAAATAGATTGGGAAGTTTAAAATACTTAAGTACACATTTAAGATGATATGTAGGACATTTAGGCAATTAATAATAATCAACTTTATGTCAAATTACGAATATTGAATGGATACCGAATTTACATGGATTCACTTTTAAAAACCAAGATTACGTGAAGGGGCTGAAAGTAAATTTTTCTTGTTGAGAATGAAGTAGAGTACACATTTGAAAAGTTGAAGTGAAAAAAGCAACAATTGTTCACATTATCGATTTGTTCACATTAGCGAATATCACATTTGATAAACATATAATAATCCTAATCGTAACTAAGATTATAAATGAAGATATGAATTTGTTCGTTTATTACTATTTCACGCCTTAACTATTCAACCGATCATCGTGAAATTTTGTACAGATATTGTCAGGGGTAAAGAAAACGACATACGGTACAAAAAAGTACTGTTCCTGAGGGATAGAAAAAAATTAGTTTTGACATATATTTAGGACTATCATCGTGAGCGAAGCCGCCCGTAAGAGTCATTTATAATTTACAGAATCAGCATAGAACAAATACATAAAATATTTTCTGCCAACATAATCTACTTGTTCTACTTATTTCTGAGGATCTTTTTTTATTTTCTGTGTAATAGCTTTCTATTTTACGTAAGTCTTTTTATAACCATTAGGTTCTTTTCCACCCACCCTTGGAAACTCCGACACCTTTAATGTGTTTCTTTTACCTAGCACAACATACATACTCCTTCGAAATTAGTTCCCTTTTTGTTTTATCTTACAAATTTGGTATGTAACTATGTAAGACATTACCCAGCATTTAATCGTTGAATCGCAAGCGATTACTCATTATAAAAATAGGGTTGTATTGGTTTACCTGTCAAGTAATAACGGTCGTTTGAGTACGATTTGATACTTTAATTTTTATTTAAATCGTATATACCTACAGTATTCTTTTAATAAATGTAATAGGGATAGTAATGCATATTTTACGTTTACATATCTACCTTACGTTTCTATTCGCATAGAAGTAGTAAAAAAGATCGATAAACACATACGAGGGTGGTGGGCTGTAAAAGTATTTACGAAGGGATTACAAGTCTAATCTACGCTACGCTGAGTTTCGGTTTTACTAAATCTGATGTTTACTCGCTACGATTACACGAACCTATCCTGGCATGCCACATGCTGTAATGATTGGTTCAAGGTTCTATTTACTTCCTAGCGAGGAGCAGTTTACTCCAAAATTGGAATAGGTAACTCTTAAAAAGTATCTGGCATTTTATGAATAACCGATGATTATGTAGGATAAACGACTGAGAATTTGGAAAGCTGGGGGAAATGGCTTTTGATTCTTCTAACGCTACTGGAGTGGAAAGATAAGTCAGCAAAGGGATAATCTTCGGGATCAATAATGGAACATCTGAAGTGAATAGTTGAAAAAATGGATTATCGTAAGCTATGGCTTATTGCCAGTTTAGCGTAAAAGCAGTTGATCTAAAAATGAAAGCGTTGAACGAATAGAGATAAAATTATTTGAACTAAACGAATATTTTTTTAAGTATCGAAACATTGGATTTTAGATTACTTACTATTTTCAAATTTTATTCAAATGTCAATCAATTTATTACTTAATGCCATTATTGTTCGGGTATTATATTTTGTTATTGTCCCATGAAGTTTGCAACATCGTCCCCTAAATTATTATCCAGAATGGCTCATATTATTCTTCCATTGCTGAAAGAAGGGTGCCCATCAGTAATGGGCTAGTGCTGAGTCAATTGTATTTCGAGATCACTCAATCTAGTTAAATTACAACTGACAACCATTTTTAAAACCAACAATTTCACTACATATTCGGAAATGCAATTGCATGCAGATGCCATATTGCTCCAAAATTCGTCGATTTGCCGTCTCTAAAATGAACTTTGAACTTTTTGACTGAAAAAACAACTATTTTACTTTTGACTAAACAAAGCTCCCTAATTCTCAATAAAAATGAGGAAAATAGAACACACTTCATCTGTTATTCCAACGAACAAATTCAAGTTAAATTTCTAAATTATTAGTGTACCTATAAAAAGACAAATACTCAATATAATATAAGAACAAAGGCTTTCACGGCCGGAATCCATAGTAGAACGAAGATTCGGGCTGTAGGGCCGTGGTCTAAGTGAACTATTGTGTCCAGACGTTTCGTCAGCTACTGCGGCTGACATCCTCAGTGGTAGTGCTGCGTTGACAACGTGAGCGTAGATTATATCTCAAAGTCTCAGTCGCTGTTGAGGATGTCAGCCAGCCGTAGTAGCTGACGAAACGTCTGGACACAATAGTTCAGTTAGACCACGGCCCTATAGCCCGAATCTTCATTCTACTATAAATACTCAAGACTTAACGAAATATTATTACCTCCGGTGGATTAAACTGTTTGAAGCAACTTTAATATATTATTTTATCGGAACAAAGCATTTTTAGTATTAGAAGTTTTCGGTTTTCTTTACTAGATTTTAACACTAAATACAAAAAAAGAAGCATTACCATTGATTGAAATAAGGGTTCTAAAAAAAGTGTTCGCTGTTCTTATGTCTAAATAAAACATTGTTAAAATATATAGACAAACTATTTTTTTTTCGATATTTTTTACTTTCTTCAAGTACTTTGTACTATTTGTTAACTAAAAGGTCATTTTATATGTTGGAGAAAGGGTAAGTATCAAATTAAATTAGTAAGACCAAGACTTAACACGTAGTAAGACCAACACCAAACCGAAGACAGGTATTATATCAACAAGACCAAGACCAAGACCAAAAGTAAAAATATTTGATCAGGACCAAAACAAATACCCAAGATCAATACCAAAACTGTGACAGTTTGAATTGGGTAGTACCTAAGCCTACACCAGCTAATGGTAATAGTAACGTCTATGATAGAAAGAAAAGCATTTATTTCACTTCAAGACCGTCTCCTGGCAATTAACTAACTTCCATATTTGCTGTTTCTGGTCACACATATCGGAAAGTTATTTCGTTTATCAGCGGTATTGAGAAAAACAGATTCAAATAATCTCTTCAACTTTTTAAATGCTAGTTCAGCACTCTGCAAAAACATATTTTGATTGTAATATTATACATTCATTTATATTTAGCATATGATCAAAAAGACAAAATCAATTGGAATTCAAACGGGAGGAAAAACGGATGAATATGAGAACAAATCATATGAACATCAGCTCGGCAGAGAAAATCAGTAGTGGGCCCAAAATTAAGGATAAAATCGTACTAATATATTGGAACAAAACAGCTGAAATTATCAATTACCAATTTTAGATTTACAACTAAAATTTTTCGACTCGGGTTACCCCTTAACCCTCTTGTCAGAAATTGTAGAGGTTAACAGCAGTTTGGACTTCCCTCTAAAGCCACAGCTGGATGCAAATGATAGAAGCAAGAGAGGTCGGTGAATATGAATAATTACCAACTAATCATCCCGAATTCTAGCCATACAACAGCTTATTAAATTTAACTCAATTAATCTGCATCACGTGATATCCAAAATTAGCTACGTTGTCAAGAGGATTTTCGAATAGGAAGCTTTAAACGATAGCTTTTAAAGTGGGTGCTTTCCTGAAAGGTTAATAAGTTATCTAAATTTATATTCTTAAACTGTCTCTTACTTGCGATCCTGCACGCGTG